CTTCCACAAATATGCCACGATCCACCTTTGAATTACGATCTTCGTCGCCAGTCTCTTACAGCATAGGACTATTTTAGATACTCTTGGTTCCATGATATATTCAGTGAAAAGTAGGAATCGTTTAAATTGTGATCATCACAAGACATGTAGTTCTGATAAATTATGACAGGGAATAAACTTGGAACAAAACAGCAAATTCCTCCTTTTTTTCCACTTTATAATAATGCTGGTTTTCCTTAGTTTAGGTGTATTTAATATTGAAGATTGTTTTAAAATGGCAGCATGTATATATTGAATAAATTTTCCGAGCAAATCACTCGATGAACAACACAGAGTAATACACTACACAGCAAACAGAAATCTCACTCAGTTATTTACATAGTTACCTGTTATTTAATAGTATGTTACACATAATGGATTGACTGCTTATTTTGTCAATTATGTAGATACATTTTATACGACAGTCTGATGAGTTATGCAACCATGTATTGCTTCTATTCTTTTAAGTAAACTACTTAATGGTTTTAAGTAGTGATGGTAAATTCAAAGATAGTAAGCGTTATGGATTAAAAATTATCAACTATACACGCATTTACACAGTACGGAAGTATGCTTTTACAGCTTAACATCAAGTTCAGAATAGGTCGTGAGCTTCAGTTCACTTACTTCAAACTGCTAGTCAGCACTTGTTTGAGACAGTTAGAGAAAAGTTGAAAGACCAGGGAGTACTAGACAGCTGTTTCATCCTACTATGGTTCGAATCCAGAAAGTCCCACTCACAAGATGAGTTCTTAGATCACTCAGCCACTGAGAACGACCCGATGGGCTATCAACTCCGACTTCTGACAATTCACGAAATAAAACGCGATCAGTCAAATCCCTACAAGCCAGCATTTGAAAATAAATTTAACACTTACTAGTTACTAGCTGGAGTTCTAGTGAGAAGTCGTTACCAGCGGGATCCACCAAGTCAGTTTATAGAGCAGTTACTCCTCTATGGCAATAGCTGGTGGTTGCGCTATATATTGTGAACTGAAAGAGGTTTGAGTTCAGAGACTACTGCATCAATTCTCGGTGGTTGAATGGTCTACAAGTTCATCTTGTAATTCGCAGGTCCTACACTCAAACCCCGTTGGGTGTGCATTTCTAAAGAGTCTCAAACTAGAATGAAACAGCTCCCCAGTAATCTTCCCTGGTTTCCCAGTGATCCTCCCTCTTATGTTGGCTCTTGGCTAATCCAATCCTTGCAAGCTGGCACTTAATAATAAACAGAAACTTTTTGTTTAACAGTTTGATGCAGAATAGAACTGTCACCCTCTTACTTAATTCCAATTCTTTCTTCAAGTGATAATGACTTGTACTTATTTTGGACAAACTTTATGAAAACACCTAATCACTATATAATCTAATCTAAGTAAAGGTAATGTGAGTGATAAACAGGCTTTATTATATTTCAGTCGACTGGTGAATAACATTTAAGACTCTAACAGTGTTAACCTGAATGCTCCGGAAATTTTCATTATTAACTCACGATTACTCAAAGTCATCAGTAATGCAGGTGATTAATCAATACAGCCTTAAGACAATCCTATGTTCCACAAAAATGTGTTAAATGCGAAGAAAAAAATTTTTCTACACGTTACTTTTATTTAACACTTTTATCAAAATAATCATGTTGAGTGTTTCTGAAGTGAATTTACACGGATTTTCAATGTTTCTGTTTTTTTTAAATGTTAAGCTTTGTTGCATGTTCATCATCAAACTCTAGAACCTGTTTCACAGTGAACATGATGTTACTTGTTTTAATTTATAAAAATAAATGGATAATTTTCTCTCTTTCTTTGTTTTTACTGTGGAGTACAAGATTCACTCATAAATTTAGTCTAACTTTTGTTGGAAAGCGGAAAAAATGATGATTTTCTGTTATACTAATTAGAATGTTTGTCAATTTTATTTTCACAGGGACAGAGTGAGAGAGAGAGAGAGACACAGAGCGGACGAGAAAGAGAAACAAATAGTTGTTTTAATCTAATTTCATGACCTTCATGCATTAAAACAAAGAAACTATGGTAACATGAATACCACAATGAAGGTGTTTGTACTTTGAACTATGCGTGCGTGATATTTGTCTGATTTTGTTTTAAAACTAACAAGCGATAAATTAGATGAATAATAATAGTGATAATAATAATAATAGGAATTTTAATTCGGTACAAAATACTTTTTCGGTAAAACAAAAAGTTTTTTTCTGACAAAGAATGGTAGAATTCATCTGAAACTTTTACAACTTGAACATTTTTCACATTTTGTTTGAATATACAGATATCTTTATTTTAAAATAAGATTTTTACAAATAAACAATTAACAAATGGAAGCAATTAGAAGCCTACAGTCGTTTCTTTTTTATTTATGATGAACCATGAATTTTATGTTGAAACTGATTAGTAGTTTCCAAGATCAATCGAATGGTTAAATCAGGATAATTCTATTCATTAGATGGAAATATGTGTAGGGAAGTAAGCAGCCAGTTTGTACAGAAAAAAAGAACTTCAGGCCGAGATTTGGGAACTAGTCAAGTACACGCAAGTTAGTCAGAATAGTCTGAAGGTGTTTTCGTTAGATTTTAGTAAGACAGAGTGATCAACAGCTGTCGCATCATGAAGAATAGAAATCTGCTTTTTACGATATCAGTTAGAGAACTATTGAAAATCAGGGAGTACTGGACAGCTGCTGTTTCATCCTAGTTTGGGAATCATTGGCATTACGCGCATACAGGAGTTCTAACACAGGACCTTCCTGTTACAGAGCAAGCTCGTAAACCATTCAGTCACTGGGACCCGATTCAATGGCCAATGCATGAATTCTAACTTCTACCAATTCGTGATTTAGCACGACTAGTGAGGTCCATCCAGTCAAGTGTGAGGATGGATGTCCCACCACCGACATTGGTTGTGGTCGCACTAAATCACGAATTGGTGGAAGTTAGAATTCATGGGCCAGTCATTTAATTGGGTCCCAGTGGTTGGATGGTATATGAGCTTGTCTTATAACCAGAAGGTCCTGGATTCGAACCTTAGGGGTGGATACGTACTGACGATGATTCCCAAACTAGGACGGAGGAAACAGTTGTCCAGTACTCCCTGCTTGTTTTCAATGGTTCTCTAAGTGATATCAATCCGTGATCAACTCGTAAAAACATAACTAACCCTTACAAACCAAACTATAGAAAATAAAAATCTGCACTGACTCCTGGTTTATTTATGTGCTGTTGCTGCTGATAAGTGGTTTATAATGTAAGTAATAAATATGAACTGTAATCTGTGGATGGTATTAGTAGTATAGTAATCAAATGTAAACGATGAGTACATGCTTTAAAGTTGCTACTGTTTTGTTAATAACGTCTAACATCCAACTATGATCCAGATACATCTTGATAGCTAAATAAAATGTGCTTACTTTTTTTTAATGTAAACTATCTCATTTACGATTTCTTTTGTATTTAAACATAATCACCTACTTTGAAATTTTAGTATTTAGCTTTGTACTGGCTTATTTCTTCATGTACATGGAAAAAACAACGTAAATCACAGTTCGATGTATCTTACGATGTATACTACTAAAAAACTACTGAGTAGTTTCAAGTCATTTGCTATGATATACAGATTTTTATAGGTGGATTAGTGTGATTCAAATAAAGGATAATCATTTAACGCATTTATAACATAAAACTGTTAATACTGGAAGAAATGACATTAGAATCAACATTTTGTAAAAAAAAATAGTCTTACTGTTCTTCTCGTAACGGCAGAATTAACAGATATTTTTAAAAGAAAACATTGAAAACAGTGCGTCGGTGGCATAGTGGTTAGGACTCTCGCCGACCATGCACATGGTCCGAGGTTCGAGCCCCTGCCGACGCACACCTGATATCTATGGTCGGCCTGCAAAATTTGGGCTACCGATATCCGTGCTGAAAATTCCATACTTGTACTGAAAATACAGTGTGGAATCAAGCTGTAAATCAAAAAAATAAATAAATAAATGTAATATTTGAAAATATGTTTTGCCAGTACTTGGACATAAATCTCTCCTTTGGGATAAATGTCTACGGAATGCGGTAAATTAGGACCAAAAAGAATGTTTTCATCTTTATTGCCCTACAAAATTAAGTAATTCCCCCCTTTTTATTTTTTAAGTTCAGAGTGAAATATAGGGCTTCAGGCATTGAAGTTTCAGTAGCTATGGCGTTGTGTTATTCTTACGGGATGGGGTTGCTTGCCTCATCCCCAACCTTCCCTCTTTACCGGTCTTGTTACCAGGTTGGTGAGGTAAAGGAGTGCATCGGCGGTGGTTCGTAGTTCGATCTCCGGCCGACGCACTCCCACATCTCGCTAAGCCAGTAATAAGACTGGTAAAAAGGGAAGGTTGGGCATCAGGCTAGCAACCCCATCCCGTAAAAATAAACACCAATGCTACCGAAACTTCTAGCCTCTAGCCTGAAATCCTTTATTCCACTAGGAACGTAAAGGAACACTATATATAAGGAAAATCTAATAAATGACAATTTAACCCAACACTTTTAACTTGATTTCAGGATTTCATCGTGAGCTGACATTAGTTAGAGAACCATTGGAAAACCTGGGAGTACTGGACAGTTGTTTCGTCCTGGTTTGGGACTCTTCAGCAGTACGAACCCACCGGGATTCGAACCCAGGACCCGGTGGGTTCGTACTGCTGAAGAGTCCCAAACTAGGACGAAACAGCTGTCCAGTACTCCCAGGTTTTCCAATGGTTCTCTAACTAATGTCAGCTCACGATGAAATCCTGAAATCAATCAAATCCCTACAAACCAACACTTGAATACTTTTAACTTGATTGCAGATTTTATTCCCATTTTCATGGAATAAATTTTATTCATTTTAATATTAAAAGGGAAAATTTCAAAAATTAATATAAAACAGTCATCCATTTATATTTTTCTCTTCCTTCTAAAATTATAGAAAACTTCAACAACTGGAAATAATGGTGATGTCTTCAATACATTGACAACTGCTCGCAAATCAAACGAAAATAACATAACATGTAATAATAAATTTGGTAAGTCAGGCAAATCAGAATTCATTATTATATAGATTGAATACCTTTCATTCCTAACAAAAGCCAGCTATTAAAATTAACTCATAGCATAGGAATTTAGATAGGCCTACAGCGACAATCAATGCCATGTTGAATATTCTAGAGAAAACTTGCCCACTCCTATGCATACACTTCTATGCAAACACACAGTGTGGTTCAAAGTATTAAAGTGTAATCTGATTGGTTACGGAGACATAGGGAGCTAAATCAGAGAATTTATGTTCTTCAAACCAACAACCGACAACTGCAACAGAAATGTAGCAGCCTCACCAATTCCGGATATAAGAAAAATCATATAAAACCATGAAAAAAGTCATGACAGTACAATAATATGAGAGACAAAATGTGCTCAAAACCCCAGGTGGAGAAAAGGAACACAGAAAGGTCAGGAACAGGGAGTAGGAATCAAATAGCCAGTGTCTTCAAACTTTTCAGTATCTGAAATATAAAATACCCATCATCTAATATTGTTGGCGAATAACTATCTCCACATGTGACTGAAGATTCAGCAAAGTAATTTAATTATCTATTCAGCGTGAATCCTTTTTGTTCACTATATACTCTTATTTTACCTGAATTTAGAAATAGAGGAGTTTATCTCATCCTTTCAGAGCATTCCCTTGAAAAAGTGACTATCGGCAGATTGAATATCTTTCAGCTTGATACTTTTGGAGTTCGATCGGGTCCAAATGGCTTAATGATCTACGAGCTAGCTCGCCTTGTAACCAGAACGTCCTGGGCTTGAATCCTGGCAGTGAGTGTGTACCACTGAAAAATCCCAAACCAGGACGGAGAAAACAGTTGTCCAGTACTCTCTGCATGTTTTCCATTGGTTCCCTAAGTGACGTCAGCTCATGATGAAATCCTCCAACCAATAGAAAAAAATATCCCTACGTTGAATGGTTTACTGGACAGAGCATTCTAGCCGCTCAATGAGACATTTAAGGAGATATTTGTGTATCCACTAGACTTCAGGAGTTGCCTGTGAAGATACTGTGTCTTTAAATTGTATTCCTGTTTGTACTTATGAGTTATTAATGGCATTCAGAAATTTCAACATTTATCACTTATTGTGGAGTTTAAACTTTACCAACAAATGATTTGAGTTGCGAATGATATTTACAGACTTGTCAGTAAACGATAATCAATGTAGTTTACAGGCTGTAAAAATGGTCAAAATCAATTTGTTATATTAGCAACACTTTAATTTGATATTAGATGTTTGATGAATGAAATCGTCACTTAGTATGCTGTCTATCAACTGAAGCATAACACCTAAATACTAAAAAAAAAGCTCCAACAGATTTATCCTCATCATCATCACTGACTCTAATGTTGGTCACGCACTTAATGAGAAGATAGTTATATCTCGTCTTGGCTCCATTATTTATCTCATCAGAAATGATGTCTGAGAGCTGAATAGGATGAAAGTGATTACAACTTATTCGCTTATTTTGATTATTTAATCTATATACTTCGTTGATAGACGCTTAAATAGTTCACTAGCAGAATATTCGTCAAACCCAATAGCGGTCTGGGATACGATGCCTGGCTGAATTAGACCTAAACCTTGTTTAGTAAGCTCCATAAAGAGGGAATGTTGGTGTTTGAGGCTACTGACTTCACCCTATGGGAAATAAATATCACTGCTGCAGACACTACAGATTTGAAGTTTGAGGTCCTGTACTCCACTCGAGATGCAAAGGAATAAAATAACAACGAAAAATAATCGTTGGTAGATAGTTGTACTTAATTTTCGTACGCCTTTAGCCACTACTAACTTGCTAACAGTCTATTTCGAAACAAAGTTAGCTTATTATAAATTATTTAAATTAATCATAAAGTGTTAAGAAAATCAAAAAAAGATTTTTCTGAACGTTTCTCTGTGTAAGCTATTTGATGTCACTGCCTACCAACAAATGCAAAGCTTATACCCTGCAGTTTTTGATGGAGACATATGGATCCTCGGGCAGGACTTCGAGGCTTCTGCACAGTTGAATGGCGTTCAGGATCTGTCAGCGATGAGGCTGGTACTTTAAACGCTGCTGAGAGGTCGGAAGAAAGCAGCATATGAAAGTATAAGGCGAAGTACTGACGAATGTGCGACAGGGTCAGGCAAACAGTTCCCAAAGTGGGAAGGACCACATGTGGTCACGTTGAGATGGGGTCACGCAGACACAATCGCAAGGGTGAACAAAAAGAAACAGGTGAACATCAGCGAGTGCTGAGATTCCAACAGCAAGACAAACGAGAAAAGCTCCTAGGGCCAAGAAGGCCGAACCAAATTCAGTCGCAAGTCTTTGACGGGGGGGGACGAGTGTGGTGAGAGCTGGCTGTTAGTCAAAATTGGTGGACAGTAATTTACATCAATGTTTATGTCCCCAATATTAGTCGTGAGAAAAATGAAAACAAAGGCTTTGCGTAGGCGGATACAGTTAACATATAGATAATCTGACATTCAGGAAACAGTCACAAAGAGATGCAGGGTTAAGTTTCTGTGAGAAACAACCAATCAGAAGACTGTGTTTTTCTGGTAACAATAATCTATAGTATGTACATGAAAATGTATAAATATGTGTTGATTTGCTTAATAAACGATCTGTTGCCTGGCCCTTGTCTTCTGTTGTTACATTTGTTAGTTGGACTCTTTTGAAAGACACTCTTCATTAATCACTTCAACTGTCCAATCGATTTACATATATATATAATAAAACTGGCTACATTTTGAAATCTGACTATTTTCTGTTGAATTTAAAGCTAGAAAATTCTAATCTCTACCATCTTCATTCATTTCTTTTTCCAATTTTGTTTAAATGATACTTTGAATAAGGCAACAACAACAAAAAATTATATGCCATCATAAACTAAATTCCTTAAGCAAAATTTCACTTACACTAGATAAAGTTGATTTCCTCGAAAACTCATCAAGATAGAAATCTCTGTGTTCGTTTGTTTTTCAACTCTTATAGTAACAACTAGTTTTGATAATCATGTTTCATTATCAGTTATCACTGATTGTGATCATATGCATATTTATGTGTATGAGCAGATATATACAGATATGCATACATAATCGTTCGTTTACTTTAGCAGCTAACTTGCCCATCATCTTTAATCTGTACTCTAGATTATTATGTTCCTTCTAAGGATAAATAGATACACATTAACTCATCAAAATCAACCATATCTTAAGCACTGCTCTAATGTGTGCTGTATATCTCTTTGTCGATATATATATATATGTCAACCTACTAGACTGCTTACCCACTTATCCACGTATCAAGAATGATGCATATATATAAAAAAATACTCAAAATACAAAATATTTCAGTCATCCAATAAGTTCTACGTGGTCACATGTCTCATGTGTTGTACAAATCATAATGTTACTTCTCAAATTAAAACACTAGGAAATATACTTTTGTGAGTATAACTCAGGAAAGTTAGTTAAGAGAAAAGAGACAAGGAAGAAAAATTTGATCTCCTTTCTCTTGTCCTATTAAGACAGACAATAGGAAAAATAATGATAATGATATGTATTCATCTATTATTATTATTGTTCCCTTGGGTTCCTAGTGGAACATAGGGCTTCAACTGCACATCTCCAATTGCCACTTCTGTCTTCTGCTGCTGTACTTTTCACCTGCATCCATGTTAGTCCATACTGTTTCAACTCATCTTCACACACACGATCTCCTCCATGTCGCCCTTCCACTGATGTCCCACTCGCCGCTCCCCTTTCAGCTTGGTTTCAATCGAGCAATGGCCTGACGCGCGCGGGATGTCACCCAGCGGCGGCCTCCTCAGCCACAAGTGTCCAATCCATCTCCACTCCATCTCCTGCATATTTGTTGGTTGGCGATTGGTTCTTGTTTTGTTTGTTTGTTCCTAGCCATAGTTTCTTGTTGGTGATTCTTTCCAGCCCGGCCATGTGATCCTCAGTATAGAGCCAGCGAAGAGAATTGTCGGTTGATAAAGGTCTGCAACAGGCTGATGGTGGAAATATTCTTTGTGACCCATCCGCCAAGTTTCTGATCCATCCGTATAGAAGAACTGACTGACTTGACGTTGTTTTTATTGAGAATCCGACGGAATTTTGTTATCGGTGCTGGCTGAGTGACGAAGATTTACAAGTTTCATTGGTTTCAGGTTGATGATGAATGTGTTTCTCGCCTTCCCGACTCTCGCTGGATTTGACATCTTCGTCCGTTCCGACTTCCTGTAGTTGAGACAATGCTCCATATATAAGTGAATGAATGAAGTAACCTCTTTCAAATCCCTCCCGTTGATGGTGATTGGCACTGGATGCTGCTGTTGTTGTTGCTGGTTGGTTGGTTATTTTCAAAACCTCCGTCTTGTCTATGTTCACTTGGAGTCCTGTCTTCACCTGCTGCTTCTTCGACCAGTTTGTCGGTTTTCGCTCGCTTGTAAGTCTTCGATTTTGTGTGTGTGACATCAAACATAAATCATCCACGCGCGAAATCCAGATCTTCTAGGTTCTTCACGTCGGTCGGTCCAGGATATCCCTGTCTTCTCGTTTCCCACTGTCTGACGCATAATCCAGTCAGTCCACCACAATTAGGAATATCATTGGTGGTGATAATAAGCACCGTTGTCTGACTCCTGTGTTTACTCGAAACGCCTCGCTGAATTTTCCGTTGTGGATCACTTGTGGCGATACCAAGCTCCAAGTATCTCGTCTTCTACTGTCACTGCTTCCCTTTGATTCCAGCCTTGTTTTTCATGTCACTGTTCTTTTCAATCTTTTCGTAAAATAGTTTATTTTAGTGTTGTCACCAACAATTTTATTTCATGTTCATGTTTAAACCTTATATAGATAAACTGTACTACAATTTCTGGGTAAGATAGAAAATTATATTTCCAGTGTATCATACCTTAGTAGATTTTCTACATCATAATGAATTTGAAATTAATAATATTAGAAGAACGCCTAACTGTTAATACACTGCAAACATCTTGAGTGAACAAATTTAGAGAAGAGAAGACTCTCTTCTTTTTAATTTTTTTTTAAATTTTAGATTTCAGCTTGATTCCACACCGTATTTTTAGTACAGGTATGGAATTTTCAGCATGTGATATCAGTAGCCCAAATATTGCAGGCCGACCATAGATATCGGGTATGTGTTGGCGGGGGATCGAGCTCCGGACCATGTGCATGGTCGGCGAGAGTCCTAACCACTGTGCCACCGACACACTCAAAGTTTTGACACTGTCAGTGAATGAGAATTGAGATTTATAATCTATTCGATGTTAACTATTCATCAGAACTCAACTTCCCTATAAAATGGCTAGTTAAACATCAGAAATATATTTTTTGTTATTTAGATTGCTTAAATATTCATACAAAATAGCTGTTAAACATTGTGATTCCTTGTCGGTTCCTTTTTATAAACTATTCATTCTGATTAAATTTTCTGAAGCTGAACATATGAAATTATGTATACACTTTATTTTGATGGATATACTTGTTAAAAGAAATATTTTCACATTAAACCATTTTAGATGATTATCAAACTCTTAATTATTTGGGTCTAGTCAGTTCAACATTTTTAAACAAGCCACCAGTTAGTCATAAAAATCTCGGTTTAGTAACATACAGTCCACGTGTTATGAATATGCCACGACTGGTACCGATTACATCAGGTGAATTGACTGTATTCAATCCTCACGGTGAAGTACCAAATGAAAAGAAACAGTCATTTACACCAATCAATTACAATCATAATCTTGACGATTCATCATCATCATCATCATATCAGATAGCTCATTTTCATTCACAGTCACAACCACAATCAATGAATGGTGGATATAAAACACTGCCAACATTTTCAAATAGTAATCAAATAGTCCAGGATATTAATTCAACCTTTGTTCCCGCTTACAATCAATATCCTAATAATGTAAATACTTATAACTTTAATAATACTAATCATAATAAAGTTGGTAATATGTTACTACCTTATCAAGTGATGGCTACAAGTATTATCAATTTAAACAATTGGAATTATCCTAAATATCCAAGTCAATCACACACATATTATGATATTAGACAACCTGATATTAAACGTAATAAATCTACCATGATTAAATCAAAATCTCAGCAATTACCGATTAATGCTAAACATCAAATCCTTAGTAGTGATATCAATGAGAAGAGTAGTCTAATGGAAACTTCAGCCAACTGGGATGAGATTAAAACCACTGGAATTACCAGTAATACTAATGACGTCAATAATAAGAATTCTGTTCTATTAACAGAATTTCCAGGATCTTGGAATGATATGCAGAAATGCACATCGAATAATACAACAGTATCTGAAAACTGGATAACACCATCAGAGCATAATTTTCACAGTCATAATAACAGTAGTTTTACTGCCAATATTACTCCTGTGTCTGCAACAGTTAGTACTGCTAATACAACTATGCCTGCAGACGAAGCACACGTGACCAGTGAAAGTCATGTTAACAATAAAGACAAATTTATCAATGAAAGTCATAGTTCAAATCGAGGAAAACAAAAAGAACTGAAGGAATCTGGAAAGTATATGTCAGCTGCTTTAAGAGAATCTAGTTTTGTATAAAATAAATCTCTTGATTTCATTTCAAATTTAAAAAATAAATATCCAAGAGCTAGCTGTACGATTTAACCATCTGTAATCTTCAAAATGTTTGTGCATTTTTATGGTTAGAAATTTAAAAACTTGACAGAAATCTGAAACACGCTTCAGTTCACAGTTATCCTACCTACATGTGTGTGTTTTTTGTCTTGTATTTAATACTTATTTTAATTGACATACTGTAAATAAAAATAATGTAATGAAAAAACAGAACTTTTATCCGTGTTCTAAGTTATGATGATCTAATTTGGTATTGATATATATATATATATATATATATATATATATATATATATATATATATAAACATTAAGTAATTTGAAAACATTGTAAGTTTCAAGACCCTAGGTGCTACGAACTTCCTGGAATAATTTGAGTGCCGAGTCAGACTGATTTATTATAAATTATTTAAATTAATCCCAGCGTGTTAGGAAAATCAGAACAGGATTTTTCTGAACGTTTCGCCGTGTAAGCCACAGCTTCTTCAGCAGATTTATTTGGATTTTTATTAATCAGTTTATTTGAAGACCATTTGTCTATGGGCAATTTTACCAACAGAAATATGTAAGCAGCTATCACATATATTTGTAATGGCTAATGTCAATTTGTTGTTGTGTATACTCTTCTATAGTTTCATTGTAAAGATTAGTTTTGTATGAATGTGTGTATGTTTGTTATTTGTCATGTGGAAAATACGTGAATTCATATGTGATAGACATGTTACTATATGTTTTAAAAGCTCATGGAGGATCATGGAGTGTTTGTTGTTTTTTCATGTCTTGCTTCATAAGAGTTTGCCATATAGGTGATAAGCCTATCCCTTCTTTCCTATTCATTGCATTCGATGTGGTTAAAATGCTTAAGGCTTTAGAAATCAATCTTATGTCCGCTGTCTGTCGCATGCATTGCTATAGCCAATCTTTTTTCTAGACTTTTTAATTCTACTTCATTTCTAGGTGGACGTTTCGTACATAGTCTATGTTCATTCACTCTGACCTTCACCTGTTTAGTGCTCTCCCCTATATAGCATGCATCACATTCTGAACACTTTATCCTGTAGACACAATTACTTTGTGACATTGTGGGAACTATATCTTTGACATGCACCTACGCTTCCTCCAGGGAATTAGGTGTGACATACACTTTAATGTTATATGAAGCAAAAAGTCTTTGAAGTTGTTCAGCTGTGTCCTTCCGATATGTCCTTTCGATAATTTGAAAACAGTTTGTCCAGTATAATATCATTAGGTTATACCACTTTTGTCAATGTTGGTGCACATTGAATGGCTTGTTTATTCGAACTGATCTCTATTGGCGGGTGACAAGAAGGTCATCATTGCTTAATCATGTACTGGTTGGTAGAAGATTGGAGAAATACGATTAGAAGCATTGTTGTACATTATACTAACGTTTATTTATAGACTTTAGCACTGATTAACCACTGTAAATCTGTTTCGTTATCGCTTGAAGAATAAATAATCCTGTTGCCTAACCATTTTCTGTTGTTCTGCGTCGATTACAGTGCATAGTATTTTACGTATTAAGCCTAATCTTCTGAAACCAGTGATAGGTCCAGGATCTCAGCGATTTGGATATTTGACAACTGTACTGTTGTTCCTATGAACTCCTTTCAACCACGTAACACATAAAGAAAAACAGAAGACATGATCAAATGAAAGAAAGTTTGACATGTTTTACAGAATGTAACACTCGAGTATGTGTTAATTAGATAAAAAGTATTGCTACTAACAGCTTGGCTTACAAAACGTATTGTTGATTTAAAAATTAGCATCATTTATAGAAACCACGTATACTGTAGTGAGGCCCATATTAAAATGTAGACATGAACAACACTGTTCATTCACATGACTTGCTCTAAAGTAAACAATTAATTCAAGCCTACTGCAAGAAATCCTCGTTGACGGTGTTACGGAAAGTATTTGAAATCCTTCTTCTAGGTAGATCTATACTACAAAGATTACTGAAGTACACCTGGCCTGTCATCAGAGCATAATCGGTGGGCTGCTTGAAGTTCCAGCTTCTATCAAATCACACACCACTTTGACTTGCTTCGTCAGCTCTTTTTTTGATGCAGTCAATAATGTCTTCTAGCCATGTTGTTTAAAACGGGCGCCTTTTTAAATTAGGCAAAAGGGCTTCTATTCATCCTGCAAAGAAGGTTTAAGAACGATCTTACCGACATGACAATGTTCTTCAACTTAGGCGTATTTCGTAGGATATAGACTGGGACACATTGATCGATGAGGCGTTGGATTTTACTGTCTTAACTTCTGTTTGGATATTTGCTGTCCTACTGAAACACTGTTTACGAGGTTTGATAGGCTGTCTTCTCTACACCTGAAAAAGCTTGGACGAGAAGAACCGAATCCACATAAATCGCATTATAATGCTGGTATTACAAGAAATAACACTCTAATAAAGTTTGAAATACAAAGACTAAATGCAGTATATGATGAAAAAATTTTTTATCATGAAAATTACTTACAACATCCGGAAACTACCTAATCAACTTACTAACAAACACTAAACTTCCCTTGTTACTTGTTCTGACCTACATAAGTGAAATCGATATTTTCTAAAGAAGCAAGCTAATATAGTTGCGTCAGGGGTTATTTTTCAGGTTTCGATGAAGATGTTTTCATAAAGTATCTCAAAGCCCTAAGTCTGTCACAGAGCCTAGGCCCTGATGGTATATCAGTCATTCTGTTTCAGAATTGTGCAAACATTTTGTGTCACACAAATCGTTGGTGCATCACTTCACAGAGATACCTTTGCTTAGGGATAATTTAAGATTGTACCTGTACTAAAAATTATCATCTTCTGAATTAAGCTTAAAGTCTAGGTCAACCGCAGTCACGTATCCACTTTGAAAACTATGGATAGATTTATCTTACCTGTTCCCAAACCCTGATTAAAATCTTCCAGTGACACCAGACAACTCGCACATAAACACAGCAGAAGTACCCTAGATCCTACCACTTTACTGCACCATAATACTGTTTCTGATCTGGATAAAGGTTCGAAATTTGTTCGACCTGCCTACAATACTGCTTTTGATTCTATTCGTAGAGCCTATTTTGTGAGACGAACTTACTTCATCACGCACCGAGCTCCCTGTTGCTTGACGCATTATCCTGTCCACCACAGCTAGAAATATTATCGATGATGGTAGATGGCTTCGTTTTACTCCCGTCTTCATTACAAACTCTTCGCCAAGTTTTCCATTGTGGATCACTTGAAAAATAGCATCGTCATGTAACTGTTTATTGAGGCTCAAAAATATTTTGGGCACCCCATAGTTTTAAATTAGTCTCCAAATCATTTCACAGTTGACACTGTCGAAGGCCTCTTCAAATTCGATGAAGTTAAGGCAGAGATTTAACTGCTTTTCTGTTCTCTGTTCAATGATGATGCGTAGCATTGCAATTCAATTCGCACACGATTTGCTTTTCCTGAATCCAGCTTGAATAATAAATATAACCGTCAAGTAAATATTTAAATATTTAAACCTACTAACTCACTCAGAGACAAGCTCTGTAGGCTAAAAGACCCAATGGACCCAATTAAACAGAATAATATAATTTACGAAATACCCTGCAATGACTGTGAGTTAAGTCAACTACATAGGTCAAACTAGTAGGTCAGGGATAGTCAGATTATCAGAACATAAGAATTTAGCTAAGGGAAGAATGGTTAAACCTGAAAAGATAAGTAATTTAGAAAAAAACTCAGCAATTGCAATGCATGCATTAACACACAACCACACAATAGCATGGTGGGATAGGGTTAAAATTCTAAAAAGTAATCTATGTAGGTGGAGAGAGAGGTTGATTACGGAATCCTTATTTATCGAATCTACACCCAACACAACACATGCAACAGAAATAACTCAATGCAAATACCAGAAATATGGAAGATATTATTACCGTAGGTCAAATCAGAAGAGGATAATAAATAATCTCAAAATTCTATTTCAATTCAAACACACCACAACATTCTAACAAAAAACTTATTATGACTATTAAAACACTCGTCCTTTTTTCCCATCTAACTGCATTTGATCAACAACACTCGTACTATTCTTTCTGAATGTACGTTATCTCACAGTGATTTTTAATCCAATATCCAATCGATTCCATACATGTATATAAATGAAAAGAAAACGTTGTGTAACTTGATATGATTATGAGTGGCAATAGTTTGTGCTCGAAACGTCATCAGTTAATATAACTGTACAACACTGTGTGTGATTTATCAAAATAAAATCTTATCCATAATGAAGAAGAATCTTCCAACTAAACTGCAGACTATCTTTTAGATTTCTTTGTCTTACTTGAAAATTTGTGACTTTGAACTCAGAAAAAATGGTAAGTACGTCACAGTCAAAAAATCTTTTATTTAGATTCCAGACTCATTTTAATCACAATGTATGTCACACATGAATTATTGTAAAATACCACTTCTTCCTTCATATAATAATAAATGATATAGTGAACATTTATTTGCATAGCAAAATAGGATTATTTTTAACTTAGACAGAAACGAATCTTATTCATTAATTCATTAAAACTAGCAGACACACACCGACACTTTACAGTTTCAGGGAGTACTAGACATCCATTTCCTTCGTCCTAGTTTGGGACTCATCGGTAGTGTGCACCTGATGCCAAGGTTCGAACTCCTAAACTTTCCGGTTACAAGGCAAGTTCATACAGCATTCATCCATTTGGGACCCCTATTGTTTGGCGCTAAAGTTCGCTATTGTGAAGCTTCATCACACAAGACTCAAGATATGTCTCACTATCTTTACCACATTCATTAATAAGCTGGTAAAACCCAGTGAAAATAATGAATTTTCTTTTATATGTAACGTATTCACTTGCCTAGTATCTACACGAAACCTAGGTCCAAGGCTTCCTGCCGATTGCCTCCAGCCATCTTATATCATCAAATCAACGTGCACCGTGATGGTGAGCTACCTAGAATAGTGGCCACATTGCATATCTGACTGATAGAATTCAGTCTGCACCAAAGAAAGAACTAGACACGTCAAACTAGTTATTAATGTCCAATCAAACTACCCACTACAGTCCCACAGGAGGTCAACTGCGATTCCGAATAGCTCAATGGTAACGTCTCTGACTGCAGCACTGGGTAATGAGTTCCTTCAA